AACACCGACAATAAGTTACTTTCTAGTATAGAAATGCTTATCTTATCTAGCATTAGTGTGGTGTGAATGTCTGGGTATGTATGCATGGATGTGTATGTATCAGTGCGCATATATCAGTGTGATATGTATTGGGAAGGGGAGTATCAATTTTTTTTATAATTGTCTTTCTTAAGAAGAACAAGAGGTCCAAGGGTCTTAGCGGTCACCTGAGTTATATCATAGGTACTGGTAGCTTTATTTTATTGTTTAAATGTGTTGTGGAAATCAGCATGTAAACTAAGTGAAATACAATACTTGTCATGTCATCAAAGGATAAGAATTTGAAAATATTGATAAATGTTCCCTTTGGGGCCCCGCCCTAGCCCCTGGGGATCTGGTAGGAATCCTAATTTTACAATGTAATAACCTCATTCACCAAAGATGATTTTGACTAAGTTTGAGTAATTTTCTGCCGAAAAAATGGATAAAATATACCCAAAAATGTTATTTCCCTATGTAAACTATATTAACTTTACCCCCTCCCCAAGGGAGAATGGATGGCTTGAGGGTCCTGAAATTTACAATTTAAATAAAGCCCCTGATGATCTTTCTTTTTATGCACTGAAATTGAATGTAGAACATCTGAGTCTGGAGAAGAAGATTTTTGAAATATTGGTTAATTCTCACCAAGTAAAAATAATCAGTGATGAATGTATTTATCTTTATTTTTTATATTAACATACAGAAATATTCCGCAGTAAACTAACACATGAAGGCAGAGCTGAAAATGCACAGTTTCGGAGCCCTGTGACAAATAAAAAACAAGAGGCCCAGATGGTCTGTATCGCTCACCTGGATATGTTTCAAGTACAGTACTTGATATGAGGTTAAGATAAAGCACTTCATGGTAAGTACTGTATGTACATTTGAAATTTCAGAAAGATCCATCCAGTATTTCTGGAGATGTAGCGAATATATAATATACTTCAAATGTCAAAATCTAAAATGGCAGCTTGGTGGCCATCTTGTTTTAATGAATACACCCTAAGAGTAACAGGCACTACTAGACAACTTGATGAAGACAAAGTTGGGATAAAATCCCTAAATACCTATGGTAGAAGAAGGATTTCAAAGATTTTACCTGTATATCGCCTCACCAGCACCCCCCCATGCCCCGAGGGCCACAACCACTGTTTATACAAAATTGAGTGCCCTTGGCCCAAGGATCCTCCAAACCAAATTGGGATGAAATCGCTTAATCCATATGGTAGAAGGATTTTAAAGGTTTACCTCTATTTCCCTTATTGGGCACCGCTCCTCTGCCCCCAGGGAGGTCACACCTACCATTTATACAAAATTGAATCCCCTTGGACCAAGTATGCTTCAGACTTAATCAGGATAAAATCCCTTTATTCCTACCCTTAAAGAAGGATTTTAAGTTTTTCCTCTACTACCCCTGTTCGGCCCCTCTCCTCTACCCCTTGGGGGGGCCACACCCATCGTTTATACAAAATTGAGTGCCCTTGGCTAAGGATGTTCCAGATCAAATGAGGATGATATCCCTTAATGCCTATAGTAGAAGAAGTATTTCACAGGTTTACCTCTATTTCCCATATTCTGCCCCACCTCTCTGGGGCAAGGGGGCCACACCCACCGTTTATATAAAGTTGAGTCCCCTTGACCCAAGGATGCTTCAGACTAAATTAGGATAAAATCCCTTCATCCCTATGGTAGGATAAGGATTTTAAAGTTTTACCTCTATTTTCCATATTGGGCCCCTCTCCTCTGCCCCGAAGGAGGCCACACCCACCGTTAATACAATATTGAGTGCCCTTGGCCCAAGGATGCTCCAGACCAAATTGCAACAAAATCCCTATATACCTATGGTAGAAGAAGAATTTTAAAGATTTACCGCTATTTCCCCTATTAAGCCCCTTCCCTCCGCCTCCAGGGGGGCCACACCCACTGTTCACACAAAATTGAGTCCCTTTGGACCAAGGATGCTCCAGACTAAATAAGGATAAAATCCCTAAATTCCTGAGTCTGAATTATTCTGACGTTTTATCGACTTTTTTCATATCGGTCTGTCGTCGATTAACGTCAGAACTCCGGCCCTCTATAATATGCGGGAAATATGCGACCCGCGCCTGGAGCGCACTTCAAACTGATATTTTAGAAACAAATCGTCACTTTCACACACATGTCGCACATAGATCGAAAGATCTATTCTTTATGCACTAGGTGGTATCAATAACATGTTTTAAAGATCATTACGAAAAGTATTTTCCAACATTTCTATACCAACCCATGTTTTTAATGGAAATTAGGCCATGAGCAATGTCACATGACTTGACAAGATCTCGCGTTACCGAAGGTATTTCCCAACGTTATGACGTAGGCCTGCGAGATTTTAGTCACGTGGCATTAGAAGGCGGGGCTATCAAAAAACTAGAGTAAAACAGAGTAAGTTTGAAAAAATATGTTTTTAGTGATTTTATTGGTTGTTTGAGGCATGTCATGTATGTTCATCTTGTGCATAAAGAATAGATCTTTCGATCCATTTGCGACATGTGTGTTAAAGTGACGATTTGTTTCTAAAATATCAGTTTGAAGTGCGCTCCGGGCGCGGGGCGCATATTTCCCGCAGATTAAAGAGGGCCGGAGTTCTGACGTTAGTCGACGACAGACCGATATGAAAAAAGTCGATAAAACGTCAGAATAATTCGCACTATAAATCCCTTTGATAGAAGAAGGATTTTAAAAGGTTTTACCTCTATATCTCCTATTGGGCCCCGCCACTCTGTCCCCAGGGGTGCCACACCCACCGTTTATACAAAATGTAAAGCCCTTTGCCCAAGGATGCTCCAGACCAAATTTAGTTAAAATCCACTAAGCCATTCAGGGCTAGTAGTGTTTTAAAGGAAAAGTTGACAGATGGCCGACTGACATACGACGTACAGGCAACAGACGGATGGACAACAGACGCTGTGTCATGGCATAAGGCTCATAGCTCACTTGCCCTTCAGGCAGGTGAGCTAACAATATACCACCAATAGTTTGTCCTTCTTTTACCTGTTCACTAAATTATTTAACATATCCTAAAATATCCCTAGTGAATAGACTTTGTTTTATTAAAAAAATAACGCAAACTAGCAAAAATCTGCATTTTAGCTTCAGTCAGGCATAAACTGGCATGTCTTGACCGCTAAATATGCACATGCCGAATATCTGAGCCTGTTATTTTCTCTTCAGGTTCAACTGGTTGAAACGGTTGAACGGGATACGCAAATGGGGTCCAGGCCAAAACGATGTCAATTAGTTGTTAACTAGGCCATACAATCTTTCAGTAAGTAAATCTTTTATTTATCCCTATTGTATATTTTAGCTTGAGCTTCAGTTATTTTCATCAGCCTTTAAGTCTGAAAAATTGGTGAATTGATGGAGAGATAGCTAGTATTCTCCCAAAAACAAATTCTTCAAAATGAAGAATAAAGTAGTTTTTCATGAATTGTTTGTAATTGTTGAAGTGTATTCCACTGAACTTCAGTCAGCAAAGTTATTAATGTATTCACCTCCAGTTGAGGGGATCAAGAAACTTGTGCAAAACTTTTTTAAGAAACAAGTCTTTTGCACCTGCCCTGTATAAGTGGGCCAACTTTTGCACTTGCCTGAGAGCTAAAACAGGTTGTCCTGGGCTTTGGACAAATGGATTTTTACACCCAATATTGAACTTTAAATTTCTTTATATGTTGCTATGTTTATAAATGGCTATTGTTAAGAAATTAATAAGTAAAATCAAAGCATATGGAACATTAAGAAATGTAGGACATGTAAAATAGTAATCAATTTCAACATCATAAATATATATAGACATAGAGGAAACCTTATACACCTACATCCATCAACTAACTTAAGACGAACCAATTGAGCTACCTGCATGGTCGCCAGTAATCGACTCAGTCCAGTTCAACTTCATTCTTCCCTCCCGTTACCAAGTCTTGACCCCTGAAGACAACACTATTTACAAATCAGGTTTGGTTATATCCTTGTCAAGCATACACACAGTACTTGAAACAAGGGTTGATCAAAGGTACCACTATAACAGGAAAGGAAAATCCCATGGGCAGACTTAATTGAATCAATTTGAATCCAAACTCCACATGGACACTCTAACCAAAAGAGCTACCTGATGGCTGGTGATCGACCCAGTCCAGTTTGGCTAAACAACAACAAAAATATTTCAATCTGGTGTTGAGAATGAAAGCATCAAAAATATATTGTCGTAATATAATTCTTTTCATGAGAGGGTGGCAACTCTCAATCTCAAAATCTCCTTATATCGATGTTATTGTAACAGTTTATAATGAAACCTACGGATGCTTTTAATCACGTCAATTTCTGGTACTTTATGTGCCTTTAATCTAAATAAAAATCATATTATTGAAAACAGAAATAAATATATATAACTAAAGTCTTGCCTGCAGCAACAGTGTTAATAGTATTTTGCATTTTCATTTCCTTATAGTGGGTTATTCATTCACACAGACATAATCGAATGTTATGAATATATAATAAGAAAGTGTAAACTAAATCGACTCGTTTATTGGATTTATTTCGACACACTTGTGTAATACTCGGGGTAATTTAGCGTCGAGTCAAAACTATGGATCCGTTTCTTGTTTTGACGAGAGCTTATTTCTGATTTATTTGTGCTGTATCCAAAAATCGACCCCTGTTTAACGATTATCACATTGTTATCAACAGTTGGTGTTAAGTTATGTCAAAATCGATGATGTGTAGTAAATTCCAATACTACAAGACTCCCTTAAGTATTCCATTGATGGTTCTCATCGATCCGACCAAGATCAATAGCACTGAATCAATGGGACCGCCCTCAAAACATTGGCCCGCCTATGCAGTTTTTGCTGGCTACCTTCAATCAAACAAAACGGGTCAACCACATATATATGACATTGCAGTAGTAATTCTTTTACAGTGCCAAACGGAAGAAATTACATTACCTATATTCAAATATGGTTAGTTTTTTACCACTGCTGCACGCAAACCCACGTGGGATATGTTGTAGAGTGGCCATACTGTACACATTGGGCCGCGTATACCATTTAAAACAATGTAAACAAATCAACCCTGTTTTGGTTTTTAATCGACTAAAAGATGTATAAACACTATGTTTAAATAGTTATCACTTTGAAACGTTATCTAACATTTTCATGTCAGTTTAATACCCCAGGGGGTAATGTTGTTATTGTTTATAATTATTTACAACGTTCTAAGCATAAAATGCAACCACCTGCCATAACAGATGCAGCGATTGGTCTTTTACTTCATCAAATTTCATTGGATGATTGGTACCGTTATAATTTACAGCGCGTGAATTATTAATGAGGCAAGATTTTATCCGCAAAAAAAGTCATGTTGTTTTGCACCAATCTTTTATCATAAAGCAAGAAATCTTTGCATTATCATATCTAAAGCGAATAAGTGAAAAACGCGTTGTGGTTGCAAGAAATATCTGAGTAATTCGTACATAATGAACATGGTAGTCTACATTATTATAAATCATATCCGTAAAATTTTATCATTCAATCAGAGGAACGATTCTGTTCATTTTATTTAAAAAAAAATTATGGATTAATTTAATTTTTAAATTCGAATAATCAAAGTATATAGATCGAGTATGTTGATCTTTTAATTCATACCTTCTATTATATAAAATCAGTCTCGCCCTTGACATCAATTAACTCTAACCACAGACCTAGTATCTATCTAATCTAATTCCAACTTTTACCAACAAGAAAAAGAGTAGCGTGCCATTTTTATTTATTACGAAACTATGATATTTGTCGACAGATTTTTTTGTGAATACGACTAAATTAACAGACCTACATAGAAAATAACAGCATGCTTACTACAAGTAACACCTTGTAAACGCATACAACAAAAGGAGATCATTAACACTTTGCATGGTGGCCTTCTTTTTCGATAATAGTCGTGAAAAGTAGGCAGGCCGTGACACCGTATGTGGGTGTATATTCCACAAATCTTTATTATATTATTTATTTATTTATTTATTGTGGATATTATCACCCTGTTCGATAAAATTTATAACAAATGATATCAAAGACGTATATATTACATATATATACGTCTCTGATGATATACGCCAAAACAAACTAAGTTAAAGAAAGAATTAAAAAACAAACATTTTATTATATTATTATAATAATAACTTGGGGTTCTAAATACCGCTTTATCACAACCTAGATCGTCTCAAAGCAGTTCACAATTTGTTATTTTGTTAATAGAATAGTTTCACAAATTATAGATGGAGTTACAATATATTCCTTTTACAAAAAAGATATCAAAGAGCAGTTTCTTTCTAATTTTCCTTTTTGAAAAAAAAAGTTTAAATTAAAAATGTAAAGAATTACATTTTTAGAACATTAAAGTTTTTCTTTTGTTTTGGAAAATGTGTTAACGTCTACATTTATGTCTGTTTATGTACATACGTTAAATGATATAAACATACTGCATTTTTAATGCAAAAGAGCATAGATAAAAATATTTGAAGCTGATAATGTATTCATTGTGGTATGTCGCGGACATAGAAATAGAAAGTCTAATTCCGTGAGTATGATATTGTATTCTTAACATCTTAATGACCGCACACTTCACCTACTAGTGTCAACGATTCGCGATCTGTTTAACGTGTGTAATGAGCCAGAAAAATTAAGATTATATTTGTTTATTTTATTAAGAGGAAAAGTCAATTGATTGTATGTAACCTATGGATTTTAACGGCAATCAAAGGAAATCAATGTAAAACATGTTTTAAGTTGGGTTTCTTTTCAATTATTTTAATTTGTAATCGAACTTTCCAAAATTCATCGTAAATTATATTATTTAAATTTTTAGATATTTTGTCAGTTGCAGTTTCATATTTTCCAGATTGATTTGAAGCTGTCGGTACACTGAGTCAATCAATGGAAATATTTACAAGTTTATGCACGGACTTAAGTTAAATAGCACGAACTAAGCATCTAATCTAATTACTTGGTTTATACTACTGGCTCTGGCTAGTAAAACCCTTTTTCACAGATTCACCTACTTGTTCTTTGTTTAATATGTTCTACAAAGTTATAATGCGAAACTACAGACGCAGTAATTACATCTAGGTGTTTGCACTTTGTAAGCTTAAGGTACATTTGTAATATAGGTTTCTTTTAGTTTTCTTTATATATATATATAGTCTCTGATGATATTAACATTTACTGAGAAATATAGCTGTACATTTTTATTGGACACTTGTAATATATTCGAGATAATTAATCCTTTGACTATGTCAACAAATAAACAAGCTAAAAGTACTTATATCAAATAGAGATATTAACTCAGAACTAAGCGTTGAGTTTTCGAACATCATCAAAGTTTTTAAAACGATTTACAAAAGCCTTGCACTCACCGTTGACGTACGGTACCTTAACTTTTTTTACAAAGTCGAATCTTAAAATAAATTTTCCAAAATATTCCGAAAAGGTAAAGAAAGTAACATTCGGCTATTAATTTATATTTCCCATTCCGTTGCTGGTACAAATATAATGTGTTTTAATAAGATGACAGATTAAAAATCACAACGATTGTCCCAAGAGCATTGGGCGACCTTTATTCCGCAACAGTCAAATCAGCTCTGCCTAGATTGTTGTACACAACTTCTTCGCGGAATCGAAGAGCGCATGCCCATAATAATGAACCATGCGCAATATTGTAATGCGCAGGTCACAGCTGTCCAAACATGGAGGTTGAACTAAGGCACAGCTTGCTTGTTCCCAGGCGTACGTAATAGCCCCCGAATATCGACTAACCAACCAGCAAACCGCTACCAAAGGTTACTATAACTGACAGTTTATCATTCTTTGTTGTTCGATCGTTTGTTGATTGTTGGAATGACGATGGAAAACATGGGCGAGCTGCCGGATCAACAACTTAACGATTCGTCCGTCACCACACCATTGAGTGTCGGAGGAGGCAGTGGAGTAGACACAGCAAGCCAACAGTCCTCACGCGATACCACTCAGTCTGACACTGACTTCCCAGCAGTACCCAGTGTCAGTGCAGTGTCCAGCCCCGAGGCCGAGTTGTCACCATCCATCGACATCTCAAGAACTGAGGCCATTCCGGTTACGGTGGCCAGTATGATCGACAGTACGGAGTTCCGTTCCCAAATGGGGGACGTCACATACCAGACTCTGAACGGGAGGATGAGCCCCAACTACAGCCCCAACAGCTATGCTACGCTCACTCCGTTACAACCACTACCCCCCATTTCTACAGTGTCAGAAAAGTTCAACCAGATTCAGGCTTCAAATGTAGGTGGTAATGGATTTACACTTATGAACAATGGACTGGGAATGGATATGAACACTGCTTACAGATATGACAAAATGATGGGGATGGGGATGAACATCTCCAATATGGGTCCAAGTTTGGCCACAAGCCCCATGACAATGATGACAACAAATGGATATCCACAAAGTGTTGGACCTTACGGTTATAATGTGAATGTGAGTCTTGGTGTAAGTCAAAATGGACTGCCTTCACCCAAGTCCGATCATAAGTCTCCTACAGGATTATCACCAAATACATATGAAACATATCGAAATCTGGCTCCACCTCCTACACGACTCAGTTCCCCAAATCCTGTCATGATGTCAACACTCAATGGATTGCATGGGAACCATACAGTTACACCTGATGCATCACCAAATAGTCAAAGTTCCAGCCCCCAGAGGGGTCAGTCAGTCGGTCCAATGGATTCTCAGAGCAATAAAGAACTTGAGGAAATAAACACAAAGGAACTGGCACAGAGAATCAGCAGCGAACTTAAACGTTATAGTATACCACAGGCAGTTTTCGCTCAGAGAGTTTTATGTAGAAGTCAGGGAACATTAAGCGATCTTTTGCGAAATCCAAAACCATGGAGCAAACTGAAGTCTGGGAGGGAAACATTCCGCAGAATGTGGAAATGGCTTCAAGAACCAGAATTTCAGCGAATGTCTGCATTGCGCCTTGCAGGTAAAATTTTTAGAGAATTGGAGGTAGATTAGAAGAAGAAGCACATTAGTTGTAGATTTATCTTAGATCTTATGAGTACAGCTTCCTTCATTTTCTCCCCTTTTGTAGAAATCCATACTGAGGTCGAGAGTCTGGTCTGGCAGCACGAACCACGTGCAGTCAGGATCGTGTAGTATCTGTCGTAGTATATTGACAAACCATTTATTGAACAATTGAACGTCACTTTCATTGATAAAAGCATTTCAAATGATATTGTCAATTGTCAATGCTGATTCGCAGTTATGGCCAAAGAAATTGATCAGATTTGTCAAGCACACAGACGTGGAGAATTAATCGGCAAACTGTTGTTATACCATTACAATACGTATCGTAAATGTCTTCTGTGTCATTGTATCTTATTAGTGTATAACATCACATCTTTTTTCTTTGCTAATTTGTTCTTTTATGTTTCAGCTTTATAGATCCAGGTTTAATTTCATGCTAGATCATTAATTTTGTTTTTTCTATGTATTTGTAAACTGTCATGGTTTTCATACCATCTGTAGGTTTGTATGCTGAATTGAATTTCAATCTTTGTTTTTCAGATAGAAATATTATAGAAATATGTTTGATTTATTTCAAAATATTTCAATAATAATCCAGGTGATTTGCAACTGCATTCACATTTTTGAGCTAAAATGAAATTTCAGTTTACTATCATTTGATACTGCTTGATAAAGATATTGGGAAAATTTTCATAAATTTCAGACTTGCAATGTTTTTTGTCAGTGAACATTTGAAAAATCGGAGTGGCCTTTTAAATAAACAATGACTATTAATTTGGTTATCATGAATCAGCTTCAAAAATTCAATGTTTTCAGTCAAATTGCTTTTATGACAAAGTCAGCTAAGCTGATTTGTGATTTTCTTTTTTTAACTCAAAATGAATTCATGTTTGATATTTAAACTTACACATGTTTGAGCAGGTGGTTGCAAATTCACCTGCAGGAGATCACAATGCAAGCATCCAGTGTTTGCTGCAATAGTCTTTAAGTTTGATTTTTAATTTTTGCAATATCTAAGTAGTAAAAGGAAATAAAATGTTCTGATTTGGATGAACATTTCATGAAAATATCTTAGTAAGTAGTATGATACAGTTATACATATGGTGGGCTGAGTAGACTGGTTGTGACATTAAAATGAAGGGTCATGAGTCAATGATTACAGTCATTAACAGATGTATAATTGTACGGGTGTGATGGCAGATGTAGGTATAGGCTGCTAGTACAGGGACAAGGGGTAGGGTGACAGCCCTGTGGTAAAATAACACACCTGACATTCACAAGCACCTAGTAGCTAGCCTTGCATATTATCTCCATTCAATTACCTACCATCTGCCCTTATTGTTCCTGATAAAGTTGACTGACTATACCGGCAGTGATACTGGACCTGCCTGCTCATCCATGCTATCAACACCTCTATCTACACCTATCACTTAGCCAGTTTGCAGATAAATCATATTAGCTCTTAAATTTTATTTTTTACATTGCTTTTTCTTTTGTCCCTTTCGACTTTTAAGACCACAGGCAATCCTTTATACATTTAGCTATGTAGTTGTGCAAAAATAGAAATTAGTATTTTAAAGTAATATATATGCTTTTGATAAATGTTTAGGGTAGTTCTTTGTCCCTTACACAAAAACAGTGAGACTCTGACACACTGAGAGGTAATTTCATGAATATCCATGGCAGTCATTCAGGCAAGGAAACAAGAGCAGTGGAAGAATTGAAAGTGACATATTATAATCCAGCAGGCTGCATAATAAGTTTGTAAGGCAGTAATTGGAATGACTGCTTCTGACCAAATGCCCCAGAGGTCATTGTTTTCTTGACTACAGTGCTGCATCAGTGGGTTCTCATCACTGCCAGCTTCTGAAGCCTTGGGTCAACAGAGCTTCGGAACACAATCTTGTCAATTCACCTCTTATCAAACTGCTTTCCTCCATCACAGGGGAATTTCAGTTCTAGGTTCTCAATCATTTTGCTTTCCATACAACTTGATGGCATGATGCATTTTCCTGCTTTCCGTGTGGTTAATCAGCTATTTTGATATCAATTTTCTCCACCGTCCTTAGCCTGGCAGATAATATTGCATGTCTCTTTTAGTTACTGGGCATTTATTTGATTTAATTCAACTCTAAATTTCTTCAAAAAAGATGAAACTCAGTGTTTTTTCAGTGGTAGGTTTTGGAACCTGTGTATTATCCACCGGTATGCATACATACATATAAATTATTTTTCTTTCAATAAAGAATGAATAGTCATTTTTTATGACATGTTCAAATTTGATAGATAATTCTTTGTAGACCAATTTCTGCCAAGAATTTAGAATTCCTTATTTTTCTGACAGCTTTTAAATTTGATTCTGATTGAATTTTGTGGCTACCTCTTTCTGTTTTCCTTTTTCAAAATCATCCCCATGGAGACAAATTTTACCTTTTGAAGCTGAAGGCAAATGGTTGTTGCTTTACTAATGTAGACAACTGTTTCCTGGTAAAATTTCTAGGAAATGTTACATGTGTACACACGCCACACATCTATGCTATGCTGATCCAGTTACAGCAGCTGTCTCCTGCCCTATTCCTCCACCAGCCACAGACACAGGGTTATGTGGCACTCAGCCTCCATCTTTACTGAAACTCTTTATGTTTCTGTTTATTTTGTATTTGTCAATGTCAAATTCTGACATTCCCTGTACACCATTGCTCAGCTGCAAGCTAATATTATATTATTTAACCCATACATGTACAAATAGGCAACACATCTGAATTATATGTGGAACATTTACTCATGTTGGTTATCCATGTATTTAAATTGTTATGCATAGAAAAACACATATTTACTAAACCAAATTTCCATGATTTGCAGGGGTAAAAACAGCAAGGGCCATTTGGTCATAAAGATTTTCAAAATTGAAAAGGTGACAACATTTGAAAAACAAAATCATAATAGATTAATACGTATATAGGAAATGGCCCTTTGAAATAGTTCTAAATAACCTGGAGAATTGTCCTTAGTGTAGTTCAGCCTGTGTAATTGCAGAATTGATCAATAATATCCACTTAAACATTTTTCACCTGAATGCATTTTGAGGGTAATTGTTAAAATCAGGCTTAAATTCTCCGTATTAAGATTCAAATTTGAAATTTAAACAATTGAAATAAAACTGAACTAGGTATATTATTCAGATTTTTCGTTTAAGATATTAAATTACAGAATATTTATTTACTGAAGGAGATTAACATTTTTGTGCAGTGTATGCCAGTTACTATTAGAATGAATACAAGAATGATATTTATTTAAAAATTAATGATATAGGGTATATAAATTATTTTTATATAAATATATGTGTGTGTAAAATGAATGATATATACCAATATAGGTAAAATGAAAGTGTGTTGTGTGACCGAGGCATACAAGTTTGCTACCTAGTCATTGTTGCCCGTGTCGGATTCATGGCCTGTGGGAACTGAACCAGTGGGATAATAGTCATTCAGGTACACATGCCACATGCCCAGAATCTCAGCCAAATGGAGCGGATCCTTTGCCAATTACATTAATATCGTACTCGGGCATCATGCATAATTCATCCCACTCCCCTTATTCTATGGCCGCCATTGTTGTTTGTATACAGCACATGATGACAGGAGTATCTGAGGATGTTCAATACGTGCAGTTATATACGAAGACTGCTCCCACATACATATTGATATATATCATAAATAAATGTTAAAACATGTGCTTCTTCAATTCCGCTGTTATGTTGAGTATAGTATCTGCAATTGCATAAAAAAATAGCTTTACTTTAAATTTGAACCTGAAATCACTTGAAACAACTAGCTGTTCTTCTGCCTAGGTTTTAAAACATCAGCGAATTTAAAATTAAATTTCAGAAAAACTTAAGTCATTCTATGCCTATAGGTTGTAAAACATCAGTACTGAAATAGCTGTACCACTACTATAGTTACACTATCAAACAATATTGTATTGAGCTGAAGGCAGTATGTCAGTTAAAATGAAACAGGTCAGTGACCCACAAAAAGTATCCTGGACTGAAGGGAATCTAAGGTAACTACAGGCCAAGGATCAGCAATCTTTTATAGCATACATCAGGTCCAGTTCATAGTTAAACCGAACAGTGGATTGAAAATAAGTGATAGTAACATGGTACAGAGAACTTAAGTTACCTGTACGTTATGGATAAAACACTAAAGAGTTGGTTACACGGTAGGGAGAAACCACTACAGTTAGTTACAAGGTAGGGAAAATCCACTAAAGAGTTGGTTACACGGTAAGGAGAAACCACTACAGTTAGTTACAAGGTAGGGAAAATCCACTAAAGAGTTGGTTACACGGTAAGGAGAAACCACTACAGTTAGTTACAAGGTAGGGAAAATCCACTAAAGAGTTGGTTACACGGTAAGGAGAAACCACTACAGTTAGTTACAAGGTAGGGAAAATCCACTAAAGAGTTGGTTACACGGTAAGGAGAAACCACTACAGTTAGTTACAAGGTAGGGAAAATCCACTAAAGAGTTAGTTACAAGGTAGGGAGAAACCACTACAGTTAGTTACACGGTAGGGAGAAACCACTACAGTTAGTTACAAGGTAGGGAGAAACCACTACAGTTAGTTACAAGGCAGGGAGAAACCACTACAGTTAGTTACACGGTAGGGAGAAACCACTACAGTTAGTTACACGGTAGGGAGAAACCACTACAGTTAGTTACAAGGTAGGGAAAATCCACTACAGTTAGTTGCAAGGTAGGGAGAAACCACTGAAGAGTTGGTTACACGGTAGGGAAAAACCACTACAGTTAGTTACACGGTAGGGAGAAACCACTACAGTTAGTTATACGGTAGGGAGAAACCACTACAGTTAGTTACGAGGTAGGGAAAATCCACTACAGTTAGTTGCAAGATAGGGAGAAACCACTAAAGAGTTGGTTACACGGTAGGGAG